ATGATGGAAAATAAGTGTCAGACTCTCTCTAACATCCATTTATTATTTTCTTTCTTCCCTCTCTGTTTAATGACCTTTGCTTACTTCCTGTATGATGATGTCTTGATGTCATCTCACAACTCTACATGTCATCTCACAACTCTACAGATCTGGGTCATTAGTGTCCTATGCATCAAATTTGTTCTTGAGATGATCTCTAAATTCAGGTTTGATATACTCAAGGCCATATTTTGGCTCTTGTGCGCTTGTTTTAATTTTTTTTTTAGCTTCAGCCTGAATTTGCTTATAAGCAATTAATGGTCTGTTCCCTGGTGTTTTGAATGATGATATTGAGCTTTTCAACCATCTCTTCTCCAAGATGTAGTCAATTTGGTTTCTTGTATTCTATCTGTTGTGATCCATGTATATAGTGACCTTTTATACTGTTTTAAAAATGTATTTGTAGTGAAGAAATCATTGGTATTACAAAATTCTATCATGTGCTCTCCTGTATCATTTCTATCCCCAAGGTCATATATTCCAACTACTAATCCTTCGTTAAGAGCTCTGGTAGCGTAGGGGTTACGAATTGGGCTGCGAACAGCAAGGTCAGCAGTTCAAAATTACCAGCTATTCCATGGGAGAAAGATGAGGCTCCCGTAAAGATTTACAGCCTCGGAAACCCTGTAGAGGGTCGATATGAGTTGGAACCTACTCCTCCACCAATCCTTCTTTGTTTCCAAACTTTGCATTCTAATCACCAGTAATTATCATTATATCTTGATTGCATCTTTGGTCAATTTCATATTGAAGAAGTTGGAATTAGTCAATTTCATCATCACTGACTTTAGTGGTTAGTAAGTAAATTTGAATAATCATGGTTTAACTGGTCTTCCTTGTAGGCACTTGGATATTATTCTATGAGAGACAGCACTGCATTTCAAGATAGATCTTAAATGTCCTTTTTTGATGATGGAAGCAATGCCATTCCTCTTGAATGTTTCCCTGGCATAGTAAACTATCTGATTGTCTTATTCAAAATGGCCAATACCAGTCTATTCAGTTCACTGATCTTTAGTACAGCAATCTTTATATGTTCCATTTCATTTTTGTCAACTTGCAATTTTACTACATTCATGATTCATACATTCTACATTCAAATTACTAATGGATGCTTGCAGCTGTTTCTTCTAATTTAGACTTGTGCCCATCAGTAAAAGAAGGTCCCAAAAGTTTTAGTCAATTTTTGTTGTCATAGTCAACTCTACTTTGAGGAGGCAGCTCTTCCTTAGACTTATTTGAGTGCATTCCAACTTCAGGGGCTTATCTTCTTGCAGTATATCTGACACTGCTCTGTTATTCATAGTTTTTCAGTGGCTAGCCATTCAGAAGTAGTTTACTTCTCTTTCTTCCTACTCTATCATAGTCTGGAAGCTCCACTGAAACTTGTCCACTAGGCATGACCATGCTGGTATTTATAAAGTACCAGTTGCATATTTTCTAATATCACAGCAACAGGCATGTCACCCCAGTACAGCAAACTGACAGATGAGAAGGAACCTGGTAGCACAGTATGTAATCACTGCTATGGTGCCATAGGAATCCTGTTTAGGTGTCATAGGATAAACACTTGAGCTCAAGCTCAGTTTGAACTGCAAGATTGGTAGTTCAATCTCACCAGCCACTCTTTGGAAACCCTACTCAGAGTGGCTCTGAGTTGGAATTGACTCAATGGCACTTAACAATTGTAATGTCAGTGGTTAGTTCAAACCCACCAGTTGTGGCAATCTGCTTCTTTAAAGATTTGCTGTTGATGTTGTAAACTGCCATCAAAGCAGTCATAGAAAACCACTTAGGGTTTGAATGACAAATCTTGTGGTTTATCTTACAATACCACACCAGGATTCCTCCTTAAGTATTAGAAACACTGGGTACTTCTTCTCTGTCTATAGGTCACTATGAGTCATAATTAACTTGATGGCAATGGGTGTCAATTTCAGAGTTTATTTTAACAGAGGATCCCAAGGTATATAAACAAAACAAATTTCAGTTCATTTTTCCCTTAATCTCTCTATAGTGGAAGAAATGGGCCCATGTCTTACATAACAGCAATACAAATATATGCCTATTTTAGATTTTATTGAGAACTTTTCATTTTTTCAAAGTAAAATGGTATGCAAATTGACTCCGCAGCACACAATCGCCATCACTAATGAATATATTAAATTATTTGTGATTAAAAATGGAACACTTCTTTTATAAGTTATCAAATCATTGATTGCAAGGTTCAACAAAATGTATTCCTGCCTAAGCAAATAAAACATAGTCCTTTGTATTGCACTAAGTACAACAGTTATGAGAACAGTTCTACAGGTTCTCACATCTCTTCTGAAATCAGAATTCAGATGTGACACCTTCATTCTGGGTGAATTTGCAAGCTCTACAAAATACTCGTAACTCCATAATGAGAAATCACTCTGATATTGCTTCTGATAAAATCTAAAAAAAAAAAAAAAAAAAAAAAACAAACTTCTGTAGCAGAATTCCTGGAAATCCTAAGAGATTGTGTAATCACTGATGCTCTTGATATTACCATCCCCTTAGCCACTGAAGTCTATGCTGCTAAATGTGCCCAAGGTTTAGGTGGGTGTGGCTGGGCTTCTGGCTCTAGTCACTACCACTACAATTAGGTCACATTTTCTCTTGTCTGAAAGGTTTTTTTTTAGACATAAGGGATTCTAACAATCTTTCCCCTGCTGTTACCTAGTGCCCTACTCAACCAAACATACTCCAGCTGTTCCTAATCTTGCCTTGTTTACCCCAAAACTTGTTTCCAGGAGAATCAGTTCATGACAGTACTCTTTGTTTGCTGCTTTATGATCTTAAAGCTTCTGCCACCTTTATCTGACCCCTTGACCTGATACAGAGGACAAGCCATGCATCTCCTCTCTTTCTATCTCCAAGTCGTTTTGCTGTAAAAACTAACTGATCAGATGACATTTACTTTTATTGCCTTCTGAGCTTTCAAGCTTACGTTTCAAGAATTTTCCATTTCAAGGCAAAGAAAGAATAATATTTTGCTTTTCTTAAATACCCACTACAGAAATAAGAACTTTTACTCTACTAAAAGTTGCTGATTTATTATAATATATATTATAGTTAATGCTCTTCTGTATTCCTGAAAGCATGTGCAAATATTTCTTCCTCCACAATTATTCCACCTGGAATTTCTTTGTAAAGCGATTTTTCCCTGATTTCTTTATAAAATATCATTCTGTCTAGTTTGTACATTGTGGCATGAAAGTAGATACCATAAACTAAAATAGTTAATGATCAAGTTAAAAGAAAATCAACTCTGGTACTTTCTCTCCAGATAATATTGTTTGTCAGGTCATTTTGTTATTAGTGACAAATTCAGTTTTTAGGAGTCCTGAGATTTTGGGGAGATGGTGAAGGGAAAACTTATTGTGTGGAAACAGAACTAAAATTGCTATATTAACCCAACAGCTTCACATCCCCAAAATATAATGCACTCTAAGCAGGTACATTTACATTTCTATATGCCATGCTATACTTTTATTTGCTTTTCTTATTTTCTTACATTACACGGTGAGTGCTCCACATGAATAGACTTCAGTAGAACTTTGTGAAATGCAATTGGATAATGCAGAGATCAATCAGTGGAGTTAAGATGGTACTGTGCTTCCTATCCTATGTGAACTGTATACGCGGTTTTTATATTATTATTTCACTTATTTCATATATTTTAATGGTTTTCATATGTTTTATTGTGTTTTGCCTACCTAGTTGGGTACACAATGAATGATCTGATTTTTGAATGGCAAGATGAGGCACCTGTACAAGTGGCAGAAGGGCTTACTTTGCCCCAATTTCTATTGAAAGAAGAGAAAGATTTACGATACTGCACTAAAAATTACAATACAGGTAAGAAATGAATATTTCTAATTATAATTATTAATCATGATTTTACAATATTCAGATGTTTCTTAATCAAGAGTATAGGCTAATTGTTTTTTAACTATTTATAGCTCAGTGCCTTTCATAAACATAGAGAATAAAATCATGTATTTGAAACTTAGAGATACTATGGTGTTATTGTAATTAAGTGCCATCGAGTCGGTTCCAATCCATAGCAACCCTGTACAGGGTTTCTGAGGGTGTAAATCTTTACGGGAGTAGAAAGCCTCTTATATTATATTGTTAGATAGTTGACTTGTGAGGGTCAAAGAAACTTAAAAATCACTTTTTTTGTAAAAATCCAATAGTTACATAGTAATGACGCTTAAACAAAAAATACTGCATGGGCAATAAGATGTATTCTTTTTAAATACTCCTTTGACAGTAAACATAGGGTTTGATAACAAAAGTCAAGAAAAATGCACAATTTTTAAAGCTTCACCTACCTAAACTTTTCTTTTGGCCACATTTTTATGCATTTTAAGTTATCTTTAAGTATCTACCACTCACAAAATGTCATAGAAAATTTCTGCTAATGAGTGCAGATAACTGATACAGTTATCAGCATCAAGGACTGAGAGATGTGTGTGATAATTCTACATCTGTGAGCACTCTCATTGCTTTCAAGTAACATAGCCTATTTCCATAATGACTGCTCAAACTTCATGAGTTGTTCCAGTGAATTTCTTTAAAGTGCCCACCATTGATCATCACTTCAATGTGGTAAAAGCATGGCTTCCCACTAACGTCTGCTGTTGCACTTATAATTTCAACACAGCAACTATGATTCAACGTTGGCTCAGCATTTTCCTGAAGTGTGCATTGATATTTCCCTCTACAAATCAGTGCAAAAATCTGGAGTTAGAAGACCAAAGGGAAACATACATCTGGCAGTTTTCAAGCTAAAATAATTGAAGAAAAAAAGAAATCCTTAAGTTGAAATATTGATGGATTTTATGTTGTGGTGCTGTAGGACAAGCACTAGACTGCTAACTGAAGGTCAGTGTTTCAAACCCACCAGCTACTCCTTGGAAACCCTTTACAGGATCTCTATGAGTCAGAATTGACTATATGAAGATGAACCTGGCATCAGGATTAGAGGAAGGCTCATTAGCAACCTGAAATATGCAGATGACACAATCTTTCTTACTGAAAGGCAAGAATACTTAAAACACTTACTAATGAAAAACACTTAACCTTCAGTATGGAAATCATCTTAATATAAAGAAAACAAAATTCCTCACAACTGGACCAAAAAGCAACATCATGATAAATGGAGAATATAATGAAATTGTCAAAAATTTCATTTTACTTGACTACATATCAACACCCATGGAAGTAACAGTCAAAAAAATCAAACAAGATATAGCAGTGGAGAAAACTGCTGCAAAAGACCTCCTTAAAGTGTTAGAAAACAAAGTTCTCACCTAGAGGACTAAAGAGTAAGCCTGACTCAAGTCCTGGGATTTTCAATCAGCTCATATTCACATGAGAGCTGGACAATGAATAAGAAAAACTGAAGAACTGATGCCTTTGAATTATGGTATTGGTGAAGAATGTTGACTCTACCATGGATTCCCAAAAAAAAATGAAAAAAATTGTCTTAGAAGAACTACAGAAGCATATTTCTTAGAGACAAAGTTGGCAAGACTTCATCTCACATACTTTGGATATTATTGTAAAAAAAGCATTTTCACCCTTATTCTGTTTGAATGAACATAATTTAATGTTCTACAATTCCCATGCTTCACAATATTTTCCATAATTTATGATATACACAGTCAAATGCTGTTGTGTAGTCAATAAAACACAGTTAAACATCTTTCAAGTATTCTCTTCTTTCAGCCAAGATCGGTCTTACCTCAACAATGATATCCCTTGTTCCATCCATGTCCTCTTCAGAATCTGTTTTGAATTTTTGGCAGCTCTGTGTCGATGCTACCATTTTTAAATGATTTTCAGCAAAATCTGGCTTGAAAATGATATTAATCACATGTTGTTTTTGTTGTTGTTAGGTGTCTAGTCAGTCTGACTCATAGCACCCCTTTATAGGATTTCCGAGGAAAGGCTGATGGGTTAAAACAACAGATGTTACAATTACCTGTCTGGTACTTATCCTACAGTGTCACCCTAACACTCCAGGCAAATTGAAGGAATAAA